TGCTGGGAGATTCATAAGTGAATCAGAACTGGATGCTGCCTATCAACCAACCACTAACATTTGTAACAGACACGTATATGTCAATGCCACATATTTTAGGTTTTTGCTGCAATAGTGCCCTACTTCCAGTACCAGTTTTTGTATTAGTGTAGATTAGGTTTTGTTTGCTAGCAAACAGCTCTAAACATCTCAGTGGTTTAGAACAGCAGAGATGTATTTCTCATTCATACGACTGTGTCTGTCACCTAAAGGCTCTTTTCTACTTTGTCCTGAATCTAGGACCCTCACTGAGGTAAGCAACCACCATATGAAACATTGTCGGGGTGACAGATTAAAGAAGGCCACAAATTCTTTATCACTCTTCTCCCCAGTCTCCATTCAAGAGGTGGAGTTTATTTCTCTTCCCCTTGAAACTGAGCTGGCCCTGTGACTGCTTTAACCAATAGAATGTGTTATTTCTAGGCCTAAGACTTACAAGACCTGGAAGCTTTTGCACTTTTGAGAGTCCTGAACTACTAAGAAATTAGGTTACTCTGCTGGAGAAGCCATTGTGAAGCAAGGCCCTGGGATAACACTGGGAAGAAGAAAGCCTTGGCTATTCTCGCATCCAGTCAAGCTTCCTAATTACTCCAGCTCCAGAAAATACCTGGCTGGAACCACGAGACCCCAAGCAAGTTAAGACAGCTGCCCATGAGCCCATTCAATCCACAAAACCATTAGTGATAATAAAAGTTACTCTTTTTTTTAATGTTTATTTATTTTTGAGAGAGAGAGAGACAGAGCATGAGCATGAGCATGAGCAGAGGAGGGCCAGAGACAGAGGGAGACACTGAATCTGAAGCAGGCTCCAGGCTCTGAGCTGTCAACAACAGAGCCCAACACGGTGCTTGAACTCGTGAGCCTTGAGATCATGACCTGAGCCAAAGTTGGACACTTAACTGACTGAGCCACCCAGGTGCCCCAAACCAGTTACTATTTTAAGTCACTAAGATTTGGAGTGGTTTGTTATACAGCAATAACTAAAACATTCCATCATTTTGCCAAAAGGAAAGAGGGCATGAGACATTATGCATTCTTTTCTTAAGTTTATTTATTTTGAGAGAGAGAGAGAGGGAGAGCATGTGCAGGGGAGGGGAAGAGAGAGGAGAGAGAATCCTAAGCAGGCTCTATGCTGTCAGCACAGAGCCCGATGCAGGGCTCAAACTCACAAACCGTGAGATCATGCCCTGAACTGAAACCAAGAGTTGGACGCTAATCAACTGAACCACCCCGGAATCTCCCTTTAAAAAGAAAAAAAAAAAAATTTAGAAATTGTGCATTCTTTAAGCTTTTACTTGGAAGTGATACAGACCACTTCCAATCACATTTCATTGGCCACACTGAGTTCAAAGGAATAGGGAAATGCAAGTCTGCTATGTGTGTGGGAAAAGAAATGGAAATATTTGGTGGCCAGTACTATTACCTCCCAGAGAGAGGTCAGGGCTGGAGAGGTACATCTTCCATAGAGATGAGAAGTAAATCACTAAGTAGATAAAATGTCAAGGAAAAAAGAGTAACAAGAGGAGAAAAGAAGACAGATAATGACAGATGCTTATAGATGACCTCTGGGTGAAGCAGGGGTGGATTATAAGGAGGAAAAGGGAGGTGGAAAAGACTCAGAAAAGGAATATCTACAGATGCAAAAGGAGACACGTAGGGATCCAAAGCAGAGTTTCAGTAACAAAATGGTCAAGAAGAGCATAAAATAAAATGGATAGTATAGGGAAGAAATTGGTAGAAATTCAGAGAAAGAGATCATTGTGGGGTGATACAGCCTGGGACAGAGGCAGAATTAGAGAAGGAATTGGAAGGTAACAGAATTTGGGTGGAGAAAGGATTAAGAAGGGCACTCTCAATGAGGAAATAGAATGAGTAAAGTCTTGGAGTGGGGAATGAATTTAGCAATGGGGAGGATGCACATTAGGTATTGTAAAAGGAAATGCATCAAAGTAATAGAAGTTATGTGTAAAGATTAGGTTTGCTGCAGAAGGGGAGGAAGCAAAGCCATTTGTGGATTTATAGATGACTTTGAGTGCCAACTGAGATTTCTGAGTTGTTTCCTTTAAATAGCTGAGTGCCACTGGAGATAGGGTGTCCAAGTTAAGAAAATCAGTATACAGGACTAGTGCCTTCACGTGGAACAAAGAAGGGAAAGAAGAGCAGAAAGTTACTACAGTATTCAAAGCAGGAATATCCTACTGTGAGGGATTATTACCTGGCAGAGAAAGAACTGCCTTCTCAACCAATTCAGGGGGCTTAGAATGAGAATAAGTTGCTCAGGAAAAAACTTTAGACCGGGGGCGGGGGGGTGGGCTTCAAGTGTGGAAAAGTTGAGATATTTATTTTATCAAGGATATAGAAGAAAATGTTTGACTTTTTACTCTCATGGCAAACAATGTTGGTTACCTACCCAACATTCCCCACTCTATTTTCTTGACAACTTCAATACTGCTCAATTCATCTCTTCCTTTCAAACCAATCAGGGAAAAGAAACATACATGTGTATAATTCAGCTCCAAGGTAAATCCTGATGGTTTAAACCACTTGGTTTAACCACTCAACTAACATCTTTCTAGGGGAGGAAAGAAGATTGTTTTTTTTTGATGCCCCAATGTCAGGGGTGTGCTACTGTCATTTAGTGGGAAGGGGCCATAGATACTAAGTGTCCAGAAATGCATGCCACAATCCTGCATAAAACCTGCCAAAAGTCAGATAAACACTAACCAGACATGGTAATCCCAAGCTCCTTGTCAGTTACTGTTTAGGGAGTAGTTAGTGACCCAGTTCGGTCAATAACATACAAGGAGTGGCCTGCTATGCAGCTTCTCAGGTGGTTTCTTCCTGCTTATTGAGATCATCCCAATTGTATCTATCTTCTCTCCCAAGCATCTCATCCCAAGCATCCATCTTCTCTCCAAAACCAGTTTCTTCCCAATCATCCTGTTTCCATCATTGGCATTTCCTGTTACCAACTCCTAAAGCAGTTATGACATCTAACCATTAACCTCAGGATGACCACTCAGATTTGCCTGGGACAATCTAATTTTAATCCTGTTCTCCTAGTGTATAGTGCCACCTTTCAGTTCCAAAAATATTCTAGATTGGAGACTAGACCATATGGTCACTTACTTTTCCCAATTAAATCCTGTTCATTCTGCCCCAAGAAAGTACCGGGGTGAGCAAACTATGGCCTATAGACTCTTTTTGTATCTCTGTAGATCAAAAAATGGCTTTTACAGGTTTAAAGAGTTGAAAAAAAAATAGTATTTCATGACACCTAAAATGTCAGTGTCCATAAATAAAGTTTTACTGGAACACAATCATGCTCATTCCTCTAAGCATCTTTTAGGTTGCTTTCTTACTATAAGACAGTTGAGTAATTATGAAAGACAGGCCTAAAATATGTTTGGCTCTTCATAGAAAAGCTTGCAGACCCCTGCCCTAATGCCACTTAGTTCTAAGTTTCCTCATTTCTTGCACTAATACCATAGCCTACTAACTTGTTTTCCATGCTTTTCCTACTCGTCTTTAATACATCCGGTAGATAATCTAGAGAAGTTTTATCCGGTCATTTGCCCCTTCAAACTCTTCAATGGCTCCTCCAAAACGGGCAGTATAAGTCCAAGCCTATCTGTTGACTTAAGACTACCAACCTAATTTTCCAGACTTTGCTCCTGATTACTGAAGCGAAAATGGAACACTAGCCGTTTCCCTAATAAGTACTTTAGTTCGTATCATATGCCCCCACTGCTTTTCGGGTCTCTCCTCCATCGCCCCTGTTCCTCAAGATTAAACGAAAATTGTTACTCCCTTAATACACCTTCACTCATTTATCACACCGATTGTTCACAGCAAGTAGTTCTTGGGAGTGGGCGTGGGGGAACTCCCTGACACAAAGACAACAGACTAGGACACGAGACAGCAAGTCAAAGGAGTTGAGTGCTTGAGGTAAGGAGCCCAGAATAAGGCTTCAGAGGTGAATTTATACCAGATTTTTAAAGGACTTGAGAGGCTAAAAGACTGTGAAAGACTTAGGGAGATTAAAAAAAAAAAATGTAAATAAAGCTGAATGAGCGAATCAAAGGACCACCTCATTCTAGCCACTTCCCTACCGCCACGGACTATGATTTAAGCGGTAACACCTTTAGTCTGAAACCTGAAAGAAAATTCTACAAGCGAAGTCTTGACCAAAACCACTCGGGAGTGGCTGCTCCGTGCTAGCGCAGGCAGCGAGTAGATTCCGGATGCCAAATAACCGTAGGGCGGGTACTGTGCACTCTTTCCGCGACAAGAAGACTCCAGTTCGTCGCCAAAACTTTTGGGCGGTAGCTTGTCTGCGCGCCCACGCTCCCAGCTTCCGGAAAGGCGCGCCGGCGCCACGGGGGAAAAAGGGACGCCCCTCAATAGTTTGCGCCAGCAGTTAAAACTAAGTCGTGGCCTCCCACAAGCCACCAACCTGCGCCCTCGAAAAGGCGACCCAGCCAGGCTCCCGCCTCCGCAGCCGCCTAGGCGAACGTGAAGTCCCTAGCGGAGCAAAAGCGAAGAGGCGGGAGTTCGCGGACACGAACTTAGACCTTGGAAAGGAAGCGATTCCAGAGCGCACGCGCATTGCGAGGGGACTGGGCGGAGCCTGCCTCCCGGAGGAGTTGCAAAGGAAAGGAGAGCGCGTGGCGCTCCGGAACTCGCGCACGCGCCGTAGTCTCACTCGGCCTGTGCGCGCGCGCGGCCGGCGCTGTATCTTTTCTTCAAGCCCGCCCCCCTCTTCCACTTCAGCCAGGGTAGGCGACGAGCGAAAGCAGGGAAGTGTGGGGCGAGGTGGGCGGGGCGTCGCACGCGAGCGCGGTCTGCAAAAGAAGGGAGGAGGAGGGAGAGATCCAAGACAACGTTACCCCGTCAACACCCAATCGAGAGCAAGCCTGACCCCGCCCCCTCACCTCATGTTATTGGCTGAGAGGCCTCAGATGGGCGGGGTTGGCCGTGGGGTTGGGGAGGGCAGGGGGCGGGGAGGAGGAGGAAGGCGCTGGCGGGCAGTGATGGCGGCGGGTGATGGGGACGTGAAGCTAGGCACCCTGGGGAGTGGCAGTGAGAGCAGCAGCGACGGCAGCAGCGAGAGCCCAGGCGGCGCGGGAGCGGCAGCAGAAGGGGGCGGCTGGGCAGCAGCGGCATTGGCGCTTTTGACGGGGGGCGGGGAGATGCTGCTGAACGTGGCGCTGGTGGCGCTGGTGCTGCTGGGGGCCTACCGGCTGTGGGTGCGCTGGGGGCGGCGGGGTTTGGGCGCCGGGGCCGGAGCCGGCGAGGAGAGTCCCGCTGCCTCTCTGCCTCGTATGAAGAAGCGGGACTTCAGCTTGGAGCAGCTGCGCCAGTACGACGGGTCCCGCACCCCGCGCATCCTGCTCGCGGTCAATGGGAAAGTCTTCGACGTGACCAAAGGCAGCAAGTTCTACGGCCCGGGTGAGGAGGAGTTGGAAGGGGAGGGGGAAGACCTCCTGTAGCTCAAGTGCGACCCTCTTCCGATGGTGGGTGCCCCTAGGCACTGGGTTGGTTTGCCCAGCTTTCTCGATGTCTGAACCCCTGCGCCCTGGCTGCTGCACCTGGGACGGCCGGCCCCACACACAACCCCAGCAGCGGGCACTTACAGCTTTCCACCCTCCGAAGTCTGTGTTTCAGTGTTGCTAGCTCTCAGCTTTCATCTTTCTCTCATCCCTCCACGAAGCCTTTTCTTGTGCTGAATTTTTCAAAATACTTTTAGTTGTCGCCTGTCAAGCTGGCCCATAACCTTTCCTGAGCTTTCTGATTCCTGGGATAGATGGGGGCAGGAGGGAGGAGAGATGTCTAAAGTACGGACCTGAAGTTGTACGCCAGGTAATTCACAGCTTTCCTTTCTTTACTCTTTTTAGCCACTGATCTCCCTTTTCCCTCTGCCATTCCCCATAAGGCCACGTTTAGGTACACGTAGTTACAAGTTCCTACCGTTTAGCTTGTGAAGTCTGGGCATATAAGCAACATCTCAGATTCTTTTTCTTTAAACCAGTTTTAGTATGGAGCCACTTTCCAAGATTAACCATGTATGTAGGATGTAGACAGACCAGAATGTAGATCTTAATAAAGACTGGCAAAGATATTCTCCCTGAGTTTTGGAGGTGGAGCTCAGATACCCCAGCAGGCGGGCCTGTCTGGTTTCTTTCGTTCTTTCTTTCTTTTCTTTTTTTTTTTTTTTTTTTTTTTTTTTTGATCGTAGGAAGGCAAGTATTCAAATACATGTTGATAATGACTTACTGTGTTTTCACTGAGCAGAAAAAACTTAAAAAAGCTATAAATACACACCCCAGTGCAAGGTTTCTGCAAGTTAAAGGTTTTTAAAACTTTGCTTTCAGAGAACCGTGTATGTAGGGTCATTGGGTTAGAAACCCTTCTTTCTTCCATGTAGTTACAGCATACATTTCAGATTATGCTAATAAACTTCAGTTCAGACTCATGGAACCTGTTGGTATACGATAAAATTGAGCAACATTGTACACCCTGGTTATGTAGTAATTAATTCTAAGCTTAAAAAAAAGTGACTACAATAAAAAATAAATAATAAAATTAGGGACCTAGAGTGACCTGTTATTCGAAAGAGTACATTCAAGCCTTAAAGTTAAGGGGGTTGGCAAGTCTAAAAACAAGTTGGTTTCCTTCTTGATTTAATCTGTTAGTACAGGAGATTTATTGGTACTTGTAAATACATACTTTTGGTTTTAGTGTTTGATGGCTGGAATATATTTTAAAGTGCTTTGGTTAAGTGAAATAGGAATAAGAAATTGGAGATTTTATGTGTTAAACTATTTAATTGCTCAGTTGCTTGTATTTTTGTGTGTACATCTACATTGAATTTAATTAAGTCATAGGTATCTTATAAAGTATTTGCTTCTGGTTATGTAAATATGAAAAACAGTTGGCTACCTACTTAACTCAGCTAAAACAATTAATACTTTTTCTTAAGAATATGAGGGACAAGAAAATAGAGCCAAAGTAAAGTAACTAAACGGACAGACCAAATTAAATAGTTAATTTTTTTTAAATCAAGGATTTACACAATATTTTGTACCTGAAGTTTTTTCTTATTAATATTAAAAAGTGTATGCAGTGATTAGAAATTGTGTACAGTTTTAGGTTTTTAATGTAGAGCTTACCCAACTAAAAGACCTGCTTTTGTAGCCCCTATCTAAACTGACAACGAAACAAAGTGTTAGTGCAAAGAAGCATATTAGTCCTCACACATTATGCTTTGCCACTATCTGCAAATAGCTAGGAAAGGTTATCCTGGACATAGTTTAGCAGCCTCCAGTGGCAAATGTTCTGCAACAGAAATTAAAAATTAAGAGTCATAGATATAACGTAGATAGCCTTTGTGCAGCTTGAGCATTAAGGGGCTTCCTAGATAACACGGAGAAATCACTTTTAGGTTGGCTTCCACCAATTCCCAGGTCCTGATGAACAGCCTAAGAGTAATTAGTTATTTTATTCTAAGTGTTTATTGTTCAACCTAGTAGAGATGTTTGGAACGTTGTATTATGGAAAGGAACCTTGAAAGTAGACAGATCACCTATGGGCTTGAAATATGTTGACATTTCACATTAACAGATGTAGCACTTTTTCTAAAAGTCTTGAAGCCAAATTTCAGATATAAGTTTATTTTGGGTTTTAATTTTTATTTTCATCTTCAGTCATCTGAGCACTTTGAAGCAATTTTAGCCTGACAGTCTTAGGGCTAAGGAGCCTGAAAACCTCATTTCTTTGCCTAGCCAATATCTACTCCCATTTCACAATAATAGTTTTAGAGTTAAAGATTTTTTATTTTGTGAGGTTTTTCTATGTTGAAAAATTCTTAGTCATTTTTAAAGTTCAAGTTCTTAAAAAATTATTGACAATTTAGTGGAGTAAACACATGTTGGCAAACAACTGGCATTAACTACATTTGTCAGCATTAAATTTAGTAACAGTTCAGGCACTTGGCCAGCATGTGAGGAAAGTGGTCAGGTAAGAAACAATGCATATGGGAGGAGAAAGAAAGTAAGATTTGTTAAGCACCTACTACATCAGATCCATTAATTTGTCATCTCCATGTTACTTCAGTGAGGTTAGTAAGTATTCTTGCCCTCAGATGGGGAGTCTGAGGTGCAGATGGGGAGTCTGAGGTACAGACATGGCATTCAAATCCAGGTACATTTGACCACAAAGCCTATCTATACTAGTTCAGGTAAACTACATAATGGGATAAACTTGCAGAGAATCTTACTGTTGTTTTGATACCCTCTCCAGGGTCCCATAAGGATCTAAAGCCTCAAAGAAACACTTTCATGGCTGTATGTTTTGCTGTCCAATATGGTAGCCACAAGCCACATATGGCTTTTTAATTTTAAGTTAATTAAAATTAGGTATAATTAAAATTGAGTTCCTCCATCTCACTGGCCACATTTCCATTACTCAGTAGCCACATGGCTACCATATTAGTGCACTTTATAGAGAATTTCCATCTTACCAAAGAGTTCTTTTCAACAGCATTGATTCTAGAGGTCAAGGGAGGAGGAGGAGGAAACTCCATTTATTGAGCTTATTATCTCATTTAATTTTCAAACAGCCCTAGAAGATAAGTAATGTTCCCATTTTACACATGTGGAAACTGAAACTCAAGGAGGTTTTACTCAAAATCACCTACTTAGTGGCAAAGCTAGAAATCAAACAGTATAATTGACTTCACATGCCATCCCATCCCATTGTATCACAACAAAATATAATTTCACACATTTCTAGAGTCATAATAGAGTAGGAAGACTGGAATAGATAGTATAATTCTAAATAACTTGACTAATATTACTACAGTGAAATTCTACCAAAATAGTGTTTTTGTTTATTCTTTAGAATGGCAATTATACAGTTGTATAATTTGTATAATAGTTTATTCTGCATTTCTGAAATTTAAATATATGGCTTTCCCCTTATTCCGTATAGCATTTTCTTTGACACAGACCAAAGCTGTATTTTCTCCAACTTCCCTTTAAATTCCACTGGAAAAGAAAAAGTCATATATAAAAGAAGTACTCCCATGAAAGGGGCACATGTACCTTTCAAGTGATTTTCCTCCTTTTTTAAATTTTATCTTCAGTATGTTAACTTTTATTTATAGTTTGCAAAATTACAGTTGAAGCAAGAGTTGCAGCATATTGACTAGGCTCAACCTGACCTCTTCCTTCGTGGATATCCTATTCACACTATCAGCTATCATCCCAGCTACTTGCTTTGAAGCCAGCTGGGTCTGTTTGGACTAATGGCCATACACATCCATTACCTTTCAGTAAAATAAAAGAATCAGCTAAGTTGTCTAATGAATTTTGATACTCTGCTCAAATTTATACTAGTTATTTCTATAATACCTACTCTGAGTTCAGCATCATGCCCTTATTTTTAATCTTTGAGGGAATTGTATTTATGTTAAGTACTAACATTAAGCATAAAAGGATAGCTGAAAGCCCATATGAGACCAGAATATGTTATTCATGCTGGAAGAAAATAGATTTAGTAACATCTAGAGTTAGCCATTCATGTTCTTTTAATAATTCTTTCAACAATCTGCGACATAGACCCCCCCTCCCCTCTGTACGCATGACAGACATCACTAAATAACTTCTCTACCCTTCGAACCTGCATCATCTCAAGATAGCTAAGATAGGATTTCATCTCCATATTAAATACTGAAAAGGAATTGCCTGGATTTCATTACAGTGTTGCTTAAATAAGATGTTGTGAAAAGTGAGTTAACTGAGTTTTCAAAACAGTTGAGTTCCTACCTGTGTGGAAATTTAGGAAAACAGACAAACTAGCATTCAGTATATAACTATAATTTATAGTTAAATATTTTATGAAAGAAATGAATAGGATATGTAATAGAGGGTAAAAAAAGGACTTTATTTAGAATAGGTGGTTAAGAAAGATGTTTTATTTATATTAGTTTATCAAGAAAAGGGGGTTGATATTTAAGCAAAAACCTAAAGGAGTCAGCCATACAAAGATTGGGTGTGAGAATGTTTTGATGCCATCTAGCACTAGATCTAGAACTGATCATATCACATTAATCAACAGAGAAAGAAACATCCTTAACCTTTACTGATTTTGAGATTTGACTTCAGCCTTTGTTTGGTTAGTATTACCGCAGTGTTTCTTTTTCCACCAGTCTGGTATGTTTTATTATTCCTCTGTAGATAAAACATATAACCACATTTTTTTTCATTGACTGTAATATCAACACTGTCTTTAAGCAGCTTAATCAGTTTATATGTTTTATCATTACTGATAGATTTCTATCATCTTATTTAGTAATTTATCTTTGACATATGTTTCATTGCCTCCTTTTATCCACTTTTTTTCCTTCGCAGATTGAATTTTTTAATTCTTCCACTCTTTCTCCCTACTTA